TCTTGAAGTAGCACCTGACCAGAGATTTGTGTAGGTTCTTGAAGTAGCACCTGACCAGAGATTGGTGTAGGTTCTTGAAGTAGCACCTGACCAGAGATTGGTGTAGGTTCTTGAAGTAGCACCTGACCAGAGATTGATATAGGTTTTTGAAGTAGCACCTGACCAGAGATTGATGTAGGTTCTTGAAGTAGCACCTGACCAGAGATTGATGTAGGTTCTTGAAGTAGTACCTGACCAGAGATTGATGTAGGTTCTTGAAGTAGCACCTGTACAGAGATTGGTGTAGATTCTTGAAGTAGCACCTGACCAGAGATTGGTGTAGATTCTTGAAGTAGCACCTGACCAGAGATTTGTGTAGGTTCTTGAAGTAGCACCTGTAAAGAGATTGATGTAGGTTCTTGAAGTAGCAACTGACCAGAGATTGATGTAGGTTCTTGAAGTAGCACCTGACCAGAGATTGATGTAGGTTCTTGAAGTAGCACCTGACCAGAGATTGATGTAGATTCTTGAAGTAGCACCTGTACAGAGATTGATGTAGATTCTTGAAATAGGTGAGTAGTGTAGGTTCTTGGAGTTGTTGGTTTGTTGTGACAGAACGCTCATAAAACATTGAGGTTTTAGTCTATGAGATGTTCTCAGAACATCAACAGAGCTGTACTTGTAGAACATGTCAAGGAGTATTATGGATAGCAACTTCTTTATTATACATACACAATGTTTCTCCTGCTGAAGGGGGAGGAAGTAGCCCTGAAATGTTGTGTTTGTATAATAATAAAGTTGTCATTGATAATATGCCTTGTCATGATTACATACGACTTGTAAAGGCCAATAAAGACTCTCATTCTTGTAAATGTCCCTGAATTAGTTGTCAGTGAAGGGGTGATGTAATTAGGCTGACTGTCGCATGCTGGATACCATCAATCTGCTGTGTGTAATCCCAGGAGAATGACTATAAATATCCTGTTTAAGGATACGTTGCAGGACAAGGGATGTATCTCCTGGGTGACAAGGTGACATGGCTTTAGTTTGACTTCAGTTGCGTGTCATTCGCCATAGCAGTGAGAGGCCATGTAAAATGTTAAATGTTACAGTATTATGATATCAGGGATTTAGCAACTGTCCATTAAGATTCCCACATTGGAATTATACATGTCCTAATTCAGGTTATTATAGCCATGATGGCCATGACTGATGTCATACTGATTTTACATAATTGAATTAAATACAATGTAAATTTTAGAAATTCAGGAAAATAAGAATGTTTAAAAAATCATGATTTGGCTGCTGATGACTCTTGGTTGGGAATATTAGATAAATACCTATCTACCTACCTACCTATACCATATATAGGAGTGACTTCATGGTCTGGTATCTGCAGGCTAGGACTAGAGACTGTCGTTATACTGTGGCAGGTGGAGAAGTGCAACCCCTTCATGGCATGCAAGCGTCAGCATGGACCTCGTCATGTGACCTCGTCATGTGACCAAGCCATCTCCTGGTCCAGGACCTGACTGCTATCCTCCCTTGATGCAGCAGAGTGCCTGTTTTTTTAATGATAGTCATACACACAACCTTTTCTTACTTACAAAAACAAATTCATATTTTAGTTTTAACTAGCATGAGTTGCTAAAGTGTCTATGCAAGTAGAGAATAGTTTTTGAGCTGTAATGCAAAATAGTGGTAGCACTTCGTTACCTACAAACTACAGTGTCCCTGGTGACGTTACGCTGTCCCTCTCTCCCTCTCTCTCTCAGGAGCATGATAATGAACTGCTCGATCATTACATATAAACGTCAGTTGAAAAAAGGCAGAGGTCTCTTTGACCAATGTTATTTGTTTTTGCTTGTTCCCCTTCAATATCGCTGATCTTCATGTGGTAATGGATGGCCCAGTGCTGAAAGGCACGATTCGCTGGGCCAGGTAGTCTTTCATTCATTTGCTGCAGCTTTGAACAGAATCATTCTAGATCCTGTCCATGAGCCTTTCTTGGTGAATCTTTCCTTTGTGGGACAGACTGAGACTTAGCTATTGCTTTCACCTGTGTTTTCATTTAAAGGTGAAAACACCTGATTTGATAGTCAGTGTATCACTCAAACTAGTGTAAACAAAAATTGTAGATTGATCAGCCAATTGCAGTTTATCAAAACTTTGTTAAAATTACTGATGCGGCCTCGTGAATTGGTGAAGGTGCCTACATTTCGTGAATAATTCACAGACAGTTTATTTCAATTTTGTTCATCTGTGTTTCCCAGTTGCTTCACCGATTCTATTCCTCTTGCTCACCCTGACACACATAGGTTGAAGTGCGCCACTCAACGTGGGGAAACATGTCAGTACAATGTCACCAAAAGAACAAACCATCTTGAACTCTCTAGCCAGGTGTTCTTTAAGGACTGTCCTTATGATATTGTGGGGATGGATGAGTTGTTTGTGTAGTTTGAGTCAGGGCTTCAACACCTACTGTTTCCTAGTCTGAAAAGAGGAGTCAAACAATTATGTTTTGCCTTTAACTCTGTATTTTCAGATCGTCGGGTGTGTCCGGTGAACGAGTAGGTTGTTGTCGTTTCCTGAGCTGATCCCCTGATCAATGTCCACACCTCAGATTGCCCTGTTCGTGATCGTTGGTTTCTTGCCATCATTGCCTTCACAAAACTCACCTAGACATTAAGAATTAACTTTAGTATTTTTCTGCGTTTATGAAGCAAAATGTAAAAATCAACGTACACACTGTGTGATCACCTTCTTAAACACAAGAACATGTTTTGGTCAATTCTTATAACTAAATATGTCAACAATAATAACTTCACAGAGTGCTTATTTCATCATTAACACAAAAATGTAGACAACAATATGAAATCTGTGACATTCAGCCCAATAATGCAACCCAAGCCCCGCCCACCCTGTTATCAGCCATTCAGGAAACAGTAGAGTGCTTATGGGTGTGACTTATTGTTTTCAGTTTATGGGAACATTAAAACATGAAGTATATTGCTTTGTTATCTAGTGGAATGCCATGGAATCACTTGCAAGGTATTTAGTTAGGCCTATCTCCCAAAGTAAGCCAACACGCAACACATGATGTAACAGAAATAATGCTAATCCAGCATTCATAGCAGATACAGCTAAGGTCTATTCAATACTATTGTGATGAACACAATGCATAGAAGATGTAAAATTGTTGGACACAAGGTCCCATGTGGCAGTCTATCAATGTTCCAGATATCCACAATAAACAGTCAGACACAGAGAATTGAACATTTTGAAGGGTGACCTTTGTCTTGATTTCTGTGAAGCCTGTTTAGGATACATATGAATCATACTCACAAGAGACACAGGACAAGCTGTGTCCATTTAGTCAATGGTATGCAGTGTAAGAACCTTCCAACCAACATCTTTTTTGGCAGCCTGTCACAGAAACTGATTCTGTTGATTAATGTAGGTTGTCTCGAGCTAAGTGGGATCAAAGACGATTGCAAGATTGGTTTTGGGAATGAACTGTAGGTGATGAGATGATATGCTAATTCAATAGATCACGAAGTCAGCTCAATACCTGGCTCTGGTTTTTGTCACAATAGTTGTTGGTCTGCTGCTTGTGCCATTGAAAACATTTGTAAAACGACCTGCTAACTGCTTCTTGAGTTTTCCCAGACGCAAGTCGACACCCAGTGGTTTCCATGCCTTTTTTCCCTTCGTCAATCGATGATTATACGTGGTACCTCATTGTCTGACAAGAGTTGATGCAAGATTAATTTGTTTACTGCGACCTCTGACTGCATGCAACCATGCTTAATGTTGCATGTCCATGACAAGGGCAACTGCAGCAAATTGGGCTGCATTATTCGGCTGTCTGTTTTTGCGTTGTGTGGCGCTTCACCAGGATCCATGCACCATGTTTGTCGTGTAAGTGACCCATGTAATTTTTCAGACAGATTGCCTTCATGGGGTTGACATATCCCTGAAACACAAGCCTGAAATGTCTGCTGGCTGAAAAATAGTATTGATTTACACAATGTTTTTTATTTGGATTCTTAGTTGTTTTAGGACAGTAAATCCGAAAGTCTTAGTGGTTTCAGGAACCAGTAAGTAGAATGTACAGTTTGTGTTTCCACCCATGCCATTTTATGTGAGTGTGTATAGGGCGAGGTAGTCTGTGTGTGTGTTTTCTTTGGCTATGAACATGTTCGTCTGGCCTTCTTTTGTATTTCACTGGGGCAAGTTGGACATAGACTCGGTTGCGTGTGTTGTTCGTTTCCGGAGCAGAATTCAAAATCTGTTCACTATTTTTACTTGACACTTAGCATAAATATCAACTAGATGATGAACTGGTGTCGTTTGTTATTTGGGGCATTTAAGTTTCTTTTGCTTTAGTATGTAATGTTGTGCCCTATTTGTAAAGGGATATTAATCTGGGGTGCAATGTGAATGGCTGAAATATCTCTTAATGTGAATACGTTTATCTGCTGTTGATTACCTAAGAGAGGAGCAGTAATGTACAGGAAGAGGATTGCCAAATGTTTTACTGATGACCTTCCTATTTCCAATGGCGATTAAACACTTTTTTCCCTATTTGCTCGTACAACTGAGCATTTGATGTAAAGGAATTTTATCACGTGTTACTAATGTGTCTTTATCACATGAAATTCCCACACATCAAATAATGCAAGTGTTAAATCTCCTTAGTTGGAAACATTGAAATGATCTGTTCATCACCTGGATCTCTTGTGTGCATATAGCATGGAAGACCCAGTCGTCTATGGTGCCAAGATTTGCTGTGCAAAGTTGCATCATTTACTAACTCACTCATTATGTTTGTGGAGCAGTCAGGTAGCCTAATGGTTTAAGCGTTCGCTCGTCACGCCGATGACCTGGGTTCGATTCCTGACATGGGTACAATGTATGAAGATCATTTCTGGTCTCCCCAGCCATGATATTGCTGGAATATTGCTAAAAGTGGCGAAAACAAAACTCACTCACTCACTCATTATGTTTCTGTATTCCAGATCTGAGGAAGAGTCTGAGAATCTGCTGAAGGATCACTACCGCAGTCAGCACAGGGACGGCAGGAGTCGAGCATGTCCGCCCATCAACACTGACGGCTGTGGTAGATTTTTTCGCCCCAACTCACCAGCCACACGTCGCAACAACAACATGTCGCAACCTTTGAAGGGCAAGGACATTAGCGTTCCTCTTGTGAGGGAACCTAATGAAAATGAGCCTGTCTGTAAGGTGTGTAATAATATTCTTGTGACAATTTTTGCGGTACTGATATTAATTACAATCCCCGATAAGTATACATTTTTCCTGTGCTGTGTATTGCTGTTTCCATTTTTAGCTCACCTGACCGAAAGTCAAGTGAGCTCATGTCCATCATCCGGCGTACATCGTAAACATGTTTCCTTGGAAACTGTAAACATTTAAGACCTGCACCACTTCAGGCTTCCCTCCCACATTGAGCTGACTGGAATTCTGTTGACTCCAACTCATACACTCATATTAAAAAAACTATTTATAGCCATTACTCTACTCACTCTTAAATCCTCTCCAAATGCATGTTTAGATTCTCCCCTGAAATTTACTGAAACTTATTCTCCCCAGAAATTGACCAAGGGAGCTGAACTTTTTCATGTATATTTCTTAAGTTGACATATTGTTCAAATCTTTTGATTTGTGTCTTAGTTTTTTGTCCTCAGTAATTGGGCAGAACTATCTGAATATTGATACTGGCAGCAATTCTTGATAAAAGTGGCTGTCGTTGTTGACATTTTCGACTGTTGACTACATATCCAGGTGAGCTACCGTCCCTGTGACACTGTTTTTTTATGAGTGTGCTGAAACAAGTCAAGTTCTGTCATCTGTCATAAACATTTTCTTCCATGAAAACACAACTCCGATGATGCGGAACCTTGGCATCCATGTTCACACCAATGAAGACATCCCAATTTCTTCAAGAAGTTCCAATCTGATTTTCAATATGGCTACAACAAAGAACAAGCTTTTTTCATAGAATCTAGGAAACCAGATTTGTTGAAATACAGCATAAATGTTTGTATCCATAAAAAGATTTTATGATGAACAAAATACCAGTAAAAACTTTAGTCTTACACAAAAAAGAAGAAGATAATTGCAGGTTAGAAATATTGTATTTTACTAACTTCATATCCATTAGTTTGAAGTAAATTGAAAAAACTTTTGGAATATCAGTGCTGACAGAAGCCTTTGTTTAGGGAGTGTCTGTGTTCACATTTTAACTGTTTGCTAACTATGCAGGTGAGCTATAGTACTTTCATTCTGTATGAATTACACTGCTTTGCTTTACCCAAATGATAGTAGTCTATGAACTCTGGGGCTGTTCTTTAACGGAAATAAATTGCATTTATCATGTTCACTGTTATGTGGTATACGATTTGAGTTCACTATCTTCCGTTAGTTTATGTCGTTTAGGTTATCTGAGAATGTCAAGTATCTTATCAGCTCAAGTGTTGGCACATTGAGAAAGTTCTGTGTGGTTATTCCCTTCCTAGACTGAGCTGTGAATGTCTACGGGGTATCGACAGTGCTCTAATGAATCAAGGGACTGAAATCAGGGTATCTTATTCACATACAGAACATGTTTAGTATTAACAATACTCAGGATCAGTGATCATGAACATCACTATGTTATTGTTGAATTTCCCCAATAAGTGTAGATATGTGAAGATCCGGGGTAGAATAAGTCTTAGCAACCCATGCTTGCTGTAAAAGGCGACTATGCTTGCGTAGATCGATGCTCATGATGTCAATCACTGGATTGTCTGGTCCAGACTCGATTATTTACAGACCGCCGTCATATAGCTGGAATATTGCTGAGTACAGCCTTAAAAAACAAACAAACAAACCAACCAAATAAATGTACGTATAAAGACAATAAAAAGGAATTGTTGCCAATTTACCAAGCAATCCTACCAACGAGATGATTGCATTACAAACATATGATTATTAAATGATACCTTTCTTACAGGTAACATGTGACAAATGACAGGTAACGAGCTGGTGTAACATGTCAAATATGCTGAATGATGCACTGACGGTTTGAGCCGATTACTGGTCTCTTGCTGTCAGTTTTGACTAACCGACTACTTTGTTGACAGACCAAACTAGCGACGTCGTCCCTCGACAATCCTGATGGCCCCCAGTCGGAGGAGGTATAGTGACATGTTGTGCCTCCTTCCTCCTCTCTGGTGTCATGTTCAACTTGCTGTAATCTATACCAAATCCCTTCTTTCAATCACTTTTCCTTGATTTTCTCTCTCACCATGAAACTCTCGCAACCTCCAGCTCAATACTTAAGTATGTTTTATTACCACATTCTCCGGTCGTTCAAGAAAAACATTGAATGCCAAACTTTTGTCATTTTCTGAATTTCATGAAAATTGATTTCTCATGTTTGAAATTGCTTCAAAATTGCTGAAGAAATTCAATGGAATCTGAATTTTGAATTTGCATGACTGACTTTTCTAACACTCTGGTGGAATGTTGACTTGAATCGTATTTAACACTCAGGATTTTGAAAGCTGTGGATAATCGACATTAAAACTGTATGTCTTTGCCACCTCCGTCTTCATCCATAGATGTTTAAATGTCATCGGACATGGATCGTGTTAATGTTTGCTATGTTTCCATGGTAACAGCATGACTGGGTTAATTGTCACTAATGTCACTGGTGCTTGATTAAAGGTCTGTCATTTATATGATGTTGTCATTGGTACAAGTGATGTTCATGTCATATATAACGCTTTCAGGCCATTAATTGAAAAAGCAAACAAGTCTTTTGATTTCAAGCTGAAAGGAGCACTCAGCATGGTCTGGAGTGTAAATTTATACCTTTAGAATTTGCTCTATGGATTCAATGCTGTCCTCTCTCCCTCTCTTATCAACGGGAATGAATTTTTAAGAGAAATCACCTGTAACCATGGTTACAATTTACATTAAACATTTTGAATTAGTCTGACAAGGAATTCTTGTTAGTCTTAAAAATAGGAGCGTAAGTGTACATCAAAGTTTTTCATGAACAGAAAATTAGCTAATTATCACAAACTGGCCCCAAAAGTAAAGCTTTCTTAAGCATGTATGTACTGGCACACCTCTAAAAGAAATTTAAATGAATATATTATTTCTGTGATTTTCCCCCTCCGAAATAAATACTATTTCATGACAAATTTACTTGCTTTGAAAGTTACTGTTGTCATTTTTTCTTGCATAATTCTCATAACTTAAACAATTGTAAATGACTATCAAACCAACCCCAAACAGTTTGTGAGTTTTCTTGGTACATGTAGTAAGCAGTTACAGGTTTATGGCGAAGGTAATGTCGTTCCCATCTGATGTACCACCATCTTGTTCCTGTCACCCACCCTAGCCGTCTGTTCACCCTGTGGGGACTTGTTACTTGGGTAGAATAGCTTGTTGTAAGGGTCTGTCACCCACCCTAGCCGTCTGTTCACCCTGTGGGGACATGGTTGTTGTCACCCACCCCGCACCTGTTCCCCCTGTGGGGACTGAGGGGGTAGAGTAGAGGTCGCACCCCCAGATAGTTGTTGTAAGATCTGTCACCCACCCCGCATCTGTTCCCCCTGTGGGGACTGAGGGAGTAGAGTAGAGGCCCCACCCCCAGATAGTTGTTGTAAGATCTGTCACCCACCCCGCATCTGTTCCCCCTTAGGGACTGAGGGGCTAGAGTAGAGGCCCCACCCCCAGATGGTTGTTGTAAGATCTGTCACCCACCCCGCACCTGTTCCCCCTTAGGGACTGGGGGGGTAGAGTAGAGGCCCCACCCCCAGATGGTTGTTGTAAGGGTCTGTCACTCACCCCGCACCTGTTCCCCCTGTGGGGACTGAGGGGGTAGAGTAGAGGCCCCACCCCCAGATGGTTGTTGTAAGGGTTGTAAAGCACAGTTCCATGATTGGTCGAAGTTCAACAACCACTCCCGGGATTATCTCAGCCCTAAACCAGCTCCTTGAGTGTAACTTAGCACTGCTAATATTGACACTTGAAATCAATAGGTGACATTGTCACAAAAAAAATAATTTTGAATTCCCAATGCAGAGAAAGCAATGTAATTCCATTTCAGCCCCGAGGAGGAAAACATTGCACAGGCCACATTTTCCCCAGCTTCTCCAGCTCCCCTAGCTTCAGCTGGTTGTTGTCCGTCCCAATAAAGCCTCACTTCGGATCCTTACATAATAGACCCCAATGGCCCTGCTGCTATGGATTTTCCCAATTTCTTACAATCACTGTCCCTTTCATCTTCTCGATACGTTCCTCACAACTGATTTAGTCAACTTGGATTCTTTATTATTGTTGAATCTATAACCACTGTAGAATGTTTGGATTCACTCTGGGATGAGGACTGATTAAAGATGTGAACATTTGCTGAAATAGATCTAATGTTTGAAGGAACAATCTGCAAGAGTGAAATTGAGTTATTCCAAGTTATCCGAACTTGCAAAATTTGTTCCACTTGTGCCAAGGGGTTATGCCCATCATGACAGATGATGTGGAATTTATGCATGTATGCAGTCTTTTTCATATTAAAAGTGAATACCAGATTTAATATAGAGATAATGCACCCCTTGTCTTAATGGAACAACTGTATCTCAGGCAGAAGAATAGGCCAAGTTTGGTGATTTATTCAAGTTGTTTGTGATTTAGGAGATGAATAAATAAAAATCTGACACACTTGCACTTGCCGAGTTAAGAAAGTCCACTTTATTTTATGGATTTTCTAGGCCAATACCCTAACCTGCTGGAAGCCATGACAACGAGCCCGAAGTAACTTAATGTCTGTCAGGAAGAAACAAAATATACTTTTTGACGAGAATTTAAGGCAGTATTTAAGTGATCTGTTGATTTCTCTGGTACTGGGTACTTGGTACTGGGGACTGGGTACTGAGGAGTTGGGCTGAAGGAGCATGCCTTCGTTGGATGTATTTTGATGACACTTGATGCATTCTTGGAAGCTTCAAGGAAACTGGTGCATCTGGCCTAAGAAGAGAATATTGGTCATGCTGGCAAACAGACCCTTTTCTGATGACAGCACACATGATGGTGAGGTAAATTTCACATATTACAGCATGCTTCATGATGACGAGATACCCTCTTCACATATGACACAGCACACAACACGATTGTGAGGTAACCTTCACATTTGACACAGCACACAACACGATGGTGAGGTACCCTTCACATATGACACAGCACACAACACAATGGTGAGGTACCCTTCACATGGGACATAGCACACAACATGATGGTGAGGTACCCTTCACATATGACACAGCACACAACACAATGGTGAGGTACCCTTCACATATGACACAGCACACAACATGATGGTGAGGTACCCTTCACATGAGACGCAGCACACAACACAATGGTGAGGTACCCTTCACATATGACACAGCACACAACATGATGGTGAGGTACCCTTCACATGAGACGCAGCACACAACACAATGGTGAGGTACCCTTCACATGTGACACAGCACACAACACAATGGTGAGATACCCTTCACATGAGACGCAGCACACAACACAATGGTGAGGTACCCTTCACATAAGACACAGCACACAACACAATGGTGAGGTACCCTTCACATGTGACACAGCACACAACACGATGGTGAGAAACCCACTTCAATGAAAGCCACATTTGCCCTGATAAAAAATGATGTTTTCTAATTTGTCGTGATCGTTTCTACCAATTTCGAATTCATTGATATTGATAGAAATGAAGAGTCTGGACAGATTTCCAATATAACCAATCTAATCTGCTGATGAAGCTGGAGATGGCCCTATGGAGGAATCGGTATTCAGACAATTTGATGACTTGGCGCTGGTGAAAAGTGTAATAGTCTTAAGGTTTACTTTGACTTCGTGTCACTGGAGACTAAAACACACATGTTACTCATTCAATTAGTGTGAGTGGACAAGTAATTCACCTTTCATTTTCCTAATTGTTTCTGTGAAAAAGCAATTATCAAGAAAAGCTGCCAGATGCGTGATGTTGGTGAAGGAATCTGGTCTTACTGTGGAAATAATGGACGCAGATATGTCCTAGTTGTCGTGAGTCATGCTACTGGTAGAGCATGGCATGGTGACCCTTTTTGCAAACGCCTGGTGTCTTTACCAATATTCAGTGATCCATTCATGTAATTTTCAGTATTATTTTGCCTTTTTTTGGCAATCTATTTCAGCAGATAATTGACACTGATTATTCTCTGGTTTTGTCGTTTTTATTTTACAGCTCGAGTTAGTTTGTTAGGTCTTGAGTCAGACTGTCTGGACCAGACAATCTAGTGATTGATGTCATAAGCATCGATCTATGCAATTGGGATATGATGACAAGCATCAATATTTAGTAAGTAACAAGAATGACATGCATCAATATTTGGTATGTAACAAGAATGACATGCATCAATATTTGGTATGTAACAAGAATGACATGCATCAATATTTGGTATGTAACAAGAATGACATGCATCAATATTTGATATGTAACAAGAATGACATGCATCAATATTTGGTGTGTAACAAGAAACTGAGCAGTGGAGCTTCTCTTGTAGGCTAAGGGTTTTTTAAAATTGGATTTTTGTTCCCAGGAACCTGTATAAAAACTTGTTTTGAATCATGTGAACTGCAGATCCCATGGCTGTATTTGAAGCCAACATTTTCTATATCATCAGAGCAGGTTCCAGTCAAATAAAGTAAGATTTTGCCAGATGTTATAATATAATAATAATAATAATAATAATGGATTGCATTGTTTGTTGTTTAACGCCATACTCGGCAATATTCCAGCTATATGACGGAGGTCTGTAAATAATCGCGTCAGGACCAGACAATCCAGTGATTGACATCATGAGCATCAATCCATGCAATGGGGATACGATGACATGCATCAACCAAGTCAGCGAGCCTGACCATCCGATCCCGTTAGTCGCCTCTTACGTCAAGCATTGTCCCCTATTATGTCAGGCTAATAATCTGGATTTTCTTAACTTTGTCCGGCTTATGTCCCCAAAGGAACTGGAAGGTTTTCTTTTGAAATGGTTCTAGCATAGCCTCAAGTGTGTCAGATAATGTTAAAAATAAAACATTTAATTTGGGAAGTATCTGGTATTAGAGATCTTAAAACCGGTATCGT